TTCGGGTTGCAACCAGAGTCACGGAACGAATTAAGTTCGTAAACCGAGGTTCCACTGTATAATAATTCCTGTTATTACAAGGCAGTTGCCTTCTTGTGGATTTCACTGCCATTGATCCTTACTACCATTTTAGTGGAACCTATTGTGAAGGACCGCTTTATACTGCAGCCTTTAAAATGCATTCAATTTTAAGATGTCACACAGATTTAGAAAATATATATATATTTTTTTGCTCTAGTTGGAAACGGAACGTCTTGATCAAGTAACTACAGTGTCATTGTTAAAAAACAAAATCATCTGTTTAGAAGATGAACTAAATGTTAAGTCTCATCAGCTCTCAAACACATCTGAAGATTCTGCACAGTATAAGACAGAATTGAATTCACTACAGTAAGCTCAGCAGTGTATTTTATAAGTACTAAATGCATATTTGTAATTCATGTCATTGCATCAGTGGTATCCCCCTAAAAGAGAGGTGCCCGCTTTGAATTTGCCCGATAAACATACTGGAAGTAATAATGTGGCTAATCTGATCATTGAGTAGTAAAAAAAAGCTATGCTGAATTTGTTTAGAAAAGTTTACCTTAATTTACATGTTCTAGAGATCAGTATTAATTCAGTGATTAACAAGACAGATATTTGTTATGTATGAGTTCTTAGAAGCGGATAAGCAGAACTTTTAGAGAGTATATACCATATTTCCTGAAACTTCTGTATGTGTTTACTGGCACTGACACACAATTCCTGAGCAAATTGGTTTTGAATATCTGAAGGAAATCTTCTGAATCTGGTTGTTTGTGCTAATACATATGAGAAGGAAGCGGAGGCTCTTCTTATCCCATCATCAGCACAAGTATGCTGGATGGGGATACAAACTAAAGCTTGCTTTGTGGTGGCACCACAAATGTGAAAAACATCAATAGATACCAATTTGGTTCATATTTCTGACAAAAAGCTAAGGGAATCCTGTTTTATTAGGTATTTATGAGTAGCTAAGACCCACATTAATTAATGTGGTAGAAACTCTGATATTGCATATTCCATTTTATTGGTTTTAATTGTATTCCAGATATTTTATTGCTTAGTTACCATTGTCAAATCAAATCTTTGTTATGGTCATAGACCAGCATAACCATTGGCATTCACAAAGGATATAAATGGAATAATTAAGTTTAAAATTTCAATGAAATTCCTATTTCAATAGAAGAGAATATATGGAGTCCTTGATGCTCTCTGAGCTTGGTTGTTTGTTTCATGACCCGACTAGTTAACATCATCAGTGCGAGTGAGTGTGGGGTTTTCTCCCTGTTTATATACAGCGGTTTGCTCTGGGGGTGTGGTTTTCTCCTTGGTAGTTCCTTGATTAGGGTATTGTTTTCTGTTTGTTTGCCTGGTATTAATCCCCGCTTATCTGGGTGTTGGCTGCTGGAGAAGATGTGTTCTGGTCTTTTTGTTTCCTTCTTAGCTTTTTTATTGTCTCTTTTGAATGGTATGCAAATATGGTTTATTACTATGTGTCTATTGATGGCTCATTTGTCTGAATGCCATTCTTCCAGGAATTCCCTAGCGTTTTTGGATTTAACTTGGTCTAGGATGGTAAGTGTCCCGACTGAAACTATGGTTGAGTCTGTCCATGTTTTGTGAGATTAAGGAGTTTTCATCATGACTTCTGACTACTAGTTGGTGTTTATGGATGCCCTCTGCTAGTCTTTTCCCTATCTGTCCTACATAGTGGCTGTTACAGTCCTTACACAGTATGTTGTAGCTGACTCCTGTTTTTTCTTCTTGGGCTACTGGGTCTTATGGTTTACTTAAGATGTTCTGGAGGGCTTTAGTTGGTTTGTGTGCTATGATGATGCCGTGTGGTTGTAATAGTCTGATGGTTGTTTCTGAGATGTTTTTGATGTACGGTAGTATTATCCTTTTCATAGCTTGTGTTGCTTGTGCTGTAGTGGGTTGAGTGGTCAGGCACTTTTTGATAAAATTGCATGGGATCCATTTTGTTGGAAGATGTTGCATAGGTGGTCTCTGTCTTTTTTCTCATGTTCTGGGTTGCTATAGTGCGTTTGTACTCGTCTGAATAATGTTCTTACACAGGTCCTCTTGTAGGAGCTTGGGGGTTGTCACTTTGGTAATGGAGCACTTGGTTAGTTTGGGTCGTTTTTCAATAGATTTGCATTTCTAATTTGGTGCCATTTTCTCTGCTGATGAGGATATCCAGGAAGGGTAGTGTGGTGTTGTTTTCTTCTTCCCTTGTGAATTTTATTCCTTTGAAGATGTTGTTGATAATTTCATGTTTTCTCTAGTTGTTCTTTTTTTATTATGACGAAGGTAGTGTCTACATATCAGATCCATATCTTTGGTTGTATGTGTGGGAGTGCTATAGTTTTTAGGCGCCGCATTACAGTCTCTGCTATGAGTCCTGATGAGTCCCTGTATATAAACAGGGAGCAAACCCCATACTCACTCACATTGATGATGTTACCTAGTTGGGTAATGAAATGTCTGCAAGTGAACAAACTAGCTCAGAGAGCACCAAGGACTCCACAAAATTCCTATTTCATTGGAAAGGGGTTGTACGTCTCTTAAAGGGAATGCCATTTAGTTTCAGTATGCAATTATGTTTGGTGATATCCTCTCTCATCGTGAAAATTAAAAGGACAATTTTGGGCCTTCATAAGGAAATATGTTTTTTAATTCTTGGAAGTCATCCAGTCATAAGGAATTAGCCTAAAAGGTATAACTACTGATTGCCCTTGTAGTCACTCTAGTCTACTATTTCTTTATAAATTATAATACCCACCAAAGATGCAGTAAAAAAGGACACATATCCTGTGCCTTTGCATTTTCAAAATATTGTATTTAACTTAACTGTCTTGATTTTACAGACTACTAAATGAACAGATTCAGAAATCCCTAGATGAGATACAACATCAACTGTCTCTTAAAGAAAATGAACTTCATTCAGCTCAAGAGGACATTGTGATATTAGAGAACAAAATAGGTGAATGAGATTGTATTACTTAAGAAAAAGAGTTTAAATAACCTGGTTCACCTCTAAACAAAAGGTTGGGACCATTCCCTTGCCATCCTCCTGTCACAGACAGATTTTACTAGGAGTGAACAGGATATCAATAAGACAAATAATAACTTTCCAGTCCAAACTTGAGACTGAACACTTTAGCTTTCAGGTTGAATTTATTCTAGTTGTCAGCCTCTCTTCCTCTCCACATATTTTTAAACTTTATTATTTCAAACTAGATAATAGAAAAAGTATACATGCAACAGTATTAATGAAAAGTTATTCAAAATTAAGTTTAAAAAGCCTTGGTAAACAGAACTACAGAGAATGTGAACATATTCCTTGAGAGTAACTTTTGCCCCTTTGTCAAAAAAAAAATAATCCAAATGCTGACAACCCAAACGCTCAAAGGAATTATAGACACTTGTAGTATTTCATTTATCTCTGAATAAAGGGGTAAGTTAACAGTTCTTGGAGTTCTTATATCAAGCCAAACAAAAAGCCAGAATACAACCTAAAATTCCATTTCTCATACTTGTCAAAATTATTGCTTTGACCCAAGGACATCAAATCCAATTTGCTCCAATTTATAGAGTAACTAGACAGAATACCAAACTCATGAATTAATGAAATGAGATTAGGAATAGAAATTTACTATTTGTCTATAAAATATAAATTGCATTGAGTACATACATTCTTATGCTCTGCCCTGTGCTATAATTCCATTAGCATTTTCAGAAATTCAGTCAATCAGTTTATTACAGTCATAGACCAGTACAACTAAAAATGCACATAACATATCTAATTAAAAATCTTAGATAA